GTCGGAACCGACTCGATGGCACTTAACAACAACAACAACAAATGACATCTAACAACAACAAGAAGAAACTCATGGAATTAGCAGCGTGGCCTGGCTGTACAGTCTGTCACTACCTAACAAACTATTCAGTTGTAGTTTTTTTTTTCCCTCAAGTTGTAAATTTGGCCCAGTCAAAGCTTAACCCCAAATCACCTTTCATAAACATGAATATTATAAACACAATGAGAAAAGTTCTACGTACACAGACAAGAAGCGAAATAGGGTGATTGTAAATTACTTTCTATCTTTACCACTATTGTTCTAGAGTACTCTCTCACACACCCTTGAGGCTGAGTTCCTCAAATTGAGCATCCTTGATGTCAGGTGTAAGAGCTTGGATGCTAACTCAAAAGTGAGTGGTTTGAACCTACCCAGCAGCTGCATAGGAAAAAGACCTGAATATTTGCTCCAGAAAAGATTACAGACCAGAAAACCCTACAGGACTATTCTCCACTGTCACATAGGGTCCCCTGAGTCAAAATTGACTTGAAGACACCTAGGAACAGCAAAAGCGAATTCTTCCTCACATTTACTCCCTCAATACCTCCAAGGGATAAAAACAGATACTGAAATGTAACAGAATTGCAAATACTTAATTTAAGTATGTTTAAATAGACCTACTACTACTTACAAGTTCTCGTGTTGCACAGTAGGATAAGCACTTGATCATAAGTTCAGATTGAACTCTAAGGTCAGCAATTCAAACTCACCAGCCACTCCTTGGGAACCCTACTCAGGGTCGCGGTGAGTCTCAACTAACTAGAGCTCACTTAACAACAATAAGCTACCATTCAGCTTTTGAACTTTGAATGTACTGTAACTTTTCTAAGTTTTAAACTTTGTCAGTTGTAAAATGAGGGTCCCAATATTGAATGCCTCATAAAGCTGTTTTAATGATTTAAAAGAGAGACTTGCATGAGGATTAAGTGAAAGAATACATGTAAAGCCCTTAGCATTTTCACTGTCCTATAATCACACATTATTTATCACGGATTCCACCCATTCCCTTGTTAGGCATCATCAAGTGACTTCTGATTCCTAAAACCCTGTGAACAGTAGAATGAAACACTGCTTAGCCCTGTCCCATTCTCAAAATTGTTGCAGCCATTGTGTCAGTCCATCCCCTTGAGTATCTTCCTCTTTTTCATTGACCCTCTACTTTACCAAGCATGATGTCCTCCTCCAGTTCCCTTCTTATAACATATCCAGTGTATGTGGATGCAGTCTCAGCATCCTGAATTCTCAGAATCACTTGGCTGTACTTCGAACACATATTTGTTCTTTCATGTATTCTATACTCTTTGCCAACATCATAGTTCAAAAACACAAATTCTTTGGCCTTCGTTATTCATTGTCCAGCTTTCACATGCATGGGAGACAATAGAAAAGACTGTGGCATAGGACCGTCTTAGTCCTTAAAATGACATCTGTGCTCTTTGACACTTTTGAGATCTTTTGCCACAGATTTGATTCACTGATGTCTTGAGTGCTTCCCCCATGGATGTTAATTGTGAATCCAAGTAGAAGAAATCTAGTTAGAGATAAAAACAAAAATCAAAAAGACAAGACAAACAGCTTTTCTAAGAGCTTTAGTTGAATACTTTTTCAAGTTTATTTTTTACAGTTATCAGAAAAGTATAAGCCACACTTTAATTTGTACCAAAGTTATTTTGCCAACTTTTCAGGGGAAAAAAATGTAAAAATGGTAACCAAAATAAAAAATTGCACAGGGCAAAGAGGTTATTCCTTCATGTCCCTGAGTAAGTGAACAAGTGCAGGGAGGAGGAGCAGGGCTTACTGGTTAAAACTGCAGTCCAGTCCAGCAGAGTCTGCTGTCCTCACTCACCCTGCAGCCTGAAACAGGTGCACTCCCTGATGTCCTGCAAGTTTTCAGAGAGGATGCAGCATTGCCTTTAGTTAGATTGGGCTCAACTGTGATTATATAGAGACAGAGTTAGTGAAGGATTCTTCACAGTGGTCAAGAAGAAGAGTTGGTGGAAGCAAAAAACCCTATGACTAAATAATGACTCTTTTACTTTCTGTCTAAGGAGCTCTGGTAGCATAGTGGTTACAAGTCAGGCTGCTAATCATACGGTCAGTAGTTCAAAACTACTATCCATTCTGTGGGATAAAGAGGAGGTTTTCTGCACCTATAAAGACTTACACCTAAAATCACTCTACAGAGTCAGTATGAGCCGGAACTGATTCCATGACACACCACCATTTTCTATCTATGCAAGAAATCTGACTTCTTCATCTCTGTGAGATTCAGTGTTTTCATTTGTCAAATATTCTTTTCCCATAGAATTGTTATGAGTATTGGATGAGGCAATGTCAAATGAAAATGATGACACACAAACCCAGAATTAATGTATCCATCATTACTTTTATTTTGAATGTCTTACATCGACTTTCTATTTTGTACTAATGAAAAGATGAGATAGCCTGACACAGATAACTGCCTCTTAACTGTTTTACTAGCATTTGTTAAAGAGTGTTTTGTGTTCTAATAGAAGCTTCAGGTATAGGTGGAGGAAATGAGAACAATCCATTGGTTATCCAAATACACCATTCCGTTAGTATTTTGAGCAAAAAAGGAGTAAGGTAAATTGCTTGATTAAGTAAACCAGAAGGATACAGTAATACCATTGTGAATAGACAATTAATAACTTTTTAACCTGGTATAATTTTCCTGCCTGCTCTTGCCAGGCTAAATATTTGTTAAGTACAACCCTAACCAATATTCTAACCAGACAATCAGATGGTATAAAAGCGATACTATGAATTTAGAGTCAGTTAGACCTGTGGTAGAATTCTAGCATTGACTGTTGTCACTTGTAAGAGCCAGAGCAAATTCTGTAACCACTTTGACCTTTTGCTTTATCATCTTTCAATTAGGAATCCTAATGTCAGTGTATAGGTCAGAGAATGATATGACAAGTCTAGGGTCTAATGGAATGGCAAGTATAGTGCAGGGCAGATTTCAGTTTCTCTTCCTCAACCTCCCTGCGCCACCCTCGCGGTCACTTCTAGAGCAAGTTCAGGCACTTCTGAGAAGTCTTCCTTAGTTCTAGTGTCCCCCTTTAATCAAGGAGAAGTGTGTTTTGCCTGCCCCAGTTGAACTCTAAACATGCTTAAGGGATTCAATTTACTGTCATATATTTTACTGGATCAAAGTGTGGTGATGCCTTATTTCCCAACCCTAAATTTGAGATTTGTCCTCTGCCAAGAGAAAGGAATAGTTCCAATAATAACTAATCCAGGGAATACTAGGAATAGTCTTCATGTTCACTACCATCTCACCACATGAATAGGTGCAGATAGCATGGGTTGTGGAAGGCATTCTAGCTGGTTCTATTATTTCCTGTATTCTTTATGTTTGTAATATTTGGTAGTTTAAAAATATATGTTTCATTGTTGAAAATCAGATAGACCTGTAGTTGAATCTTAAGTGTGCTGTATACAAGACAAGTGACATTTTAAACAAGTTGCTGGTCTTCTCTGAGATTCTGTTTTCTTGTTAGACAAACAGAGAGAAAGGCACGTAGACCTTCCAGATGGAGAATTAAAGGAACCAGTTTCTTTCTTGAGCCATAGGTACTCAAAGCCTTTTTAAATTCAGAGTTAGATCTGTTCAGTACATGCTCTCTCAGGTTCCCCTTTATGTCTAATATTTTCTCATTGATTGAATTGATGGTTGTTAGGAAAGCAGTTCTCTAGAAATACCTGTGCTGTTGTTGTCAATCACAACTTAGATGGACTCTGGATGGGGTTCCCTAGGAATAATAAGTGGGTTTGAAATGCTGAACTTGTGGTTAGCAGTCCAGTACGTACCCTACAGAACCACACTAGGCCTCCACAAAAATCCCTGTACCATTCTGTGACTGTATACTTTTCCCTTCTAGAAACAATCTTTCTTTCTTGAAAATGTTTTGATTTTTTTTAACTTGCTTCTAAAAATTAATATTTGAAGTTGCCAATCACTCAAAGCGCAGTGTAGATTAATCAGAAAGCTTTTTTGGTCAGACTTGTCAACTTCAGTTTTGATGATTAAAAATGGAGAATGATGTATTAAATACCTTTAAAGTCAGCTACTCCTGTCCTAAATGTCTGAGTCCAAAACCCAACACAACCCACTGCTGTCGAATTGATTCCAATGTAGACAGGAAGAAATATGGACGTTGGAGGACTTTGGCACAGTGGCTGCAACAGTCAGCTCAAACATATCTACGACTGTGAAGCTGATGCACGACTCGGCAACTTGCTGGCACCTAATAACAACCACATGTCTGATCAGGCGCTAGAAATCCCAACTAATCTCAATTGGCTGGACTCCTTGTAGCTGAGTAGACGCAGAACCAGAAGGTAGACAATGTGCAGAACAATGGGAAAGGCCCAGAATTCTTCCCATTTGTAAATTCCCTAAGAGGTTAGTTATAGTGGTGGTGTGCCATTGAGTCCGTTCCAACCTATAGTGAGGAAATCCTGTATAGGATTTCCGAGGCTGTAAATGTTTACAGAAGCAGAAAGTTGCATCTTTCTTCAGTGGAGCAAATGGTAGATTCGAACTGCTGGTCTTGCGGCTAGTTGCTTAACTCATAATCCACTTTGCTACTGTTGTTGTTGTTGTTTGGTGTTGTTTTTTTGTGCTGGTGTTGTTGTTATTTGCTGCTGTCGTCATCCTTTTTTTTGTTTTTTTTGTTAAGTGCTGTCGAGTCAATTCTGATCCATAGTGACCCTGTATAGGGTTTCCGAGGAGCAACTGGTGAGCTTGAACCGCCGGTCTTGCAGTTCAAATGGCTTTTCAGTCTTGCACATTAAACCACAGTGCCACACCAGGACTCCGTAAGTTCCCTAAGCTAAAGGGTCATAACTTATTCTTCATTACTACTTGTCTGAGTACCTGGTCCATAGAAGACATGAAAGCTATGTTTGAAGGACTGAATTAAAAATAAACTTTGTAGATATTATCTAAAGTCAAGTCAGGAAAGAAAAAGACCTAAATCAAATGATTCAAGAGATGGCCTACCCTTTTCCAGAGAGACAATTCTTCATGCTATAGTATACACCTGCCATTTCTTTTTCCTTCTTCCTGATATACTTTTACCTTTTCTAATTCTTTCTAATTCTCCTATGCTATATCTTTGGTATTTACACTTTCAAAATATTTATTGGCTGTTAGATTGTCCTCACTTAGGCAAGAAATATTTCCATAGGTTCTTTAATCTTACCTCATAAGTCTGTCTCTCTGTCTCCTTCATCATTTTTGTTACTCTTCTCTGGACCATGCCCAGCTTCACTATATCAAGTTAGTGCAAAAGCTGCCAAAGTAGAGCTTAGGATTTCTGAGCTGGAGGACAGCTGTCCTGTGCATGAGATGTAGAATAGCTGTACATATCCCTAAAAAACCTCCTACATTTTCTACATCCTTGTTGTTATAGTGTGTTCTTGAGTCAATTTCAACTCACAATGAATCAACAGTACAGAAGAGAACTACACTATAAGATTTCCTAGGCTGTAACCTTTGTCGTAGTGTGGTGCTGGGGCTTAATGTGCCAGACTGCAAAGACATTTGAACTGCTCACCAGGTGCTCCTTGGAAACCCTATAGAGGGTCACTATGGATCAGAACCGACTCAACAGCACTTAACAACAACAACAACCTTTAAGATGGCCTGGTGTTGATAATGCACTGGACCAAAAGGTTAATTTGATCCACAAGGTCAGTGGTTCAAACTCATCAGCTGCTCCTCAGAAACTCTATACAGACTTTCTGTGAGTCAGAACCAACTTGATGTCACTTAACAACAACAGTTTTTAAGGGAAAAGATCACAAGACAAGACATTTCCTTCCACGGAACAGTTGACAAGTTAGCAGCACAGAGCTTAGAGAACAGGACCATTGCATCACGGGACTTCTTGTTGCATCTTTAGTTATGTTTATATTTTCCCCTTTTTAAAATTAGACTGAGGGAGTTCCCAAGGCAGAATGAAGATCCTTCTTTTTAGGCTCAGACCCTTGCTCAGCTTGAAACATAGTGTAGTTGTTGTTTGATGACACTGAGTAAGGTCTAACCCTTACACAGTATAAGAGGATGAAATACTGCCTTATACAGTATGATGGTGGTGGTTGTGTGTTGTGGAGTCGGTTCTGACTCATAGCGATCCTGTACAGGGTTTCCAAGGGTTGACCTTGAGGTTCGCAGCCTGATTCATAACCACAATACTACCAGAGCTCCTTTTATACAGTGTAAGAGAATGAAATACTGCCTTGTCCTGCACAATCCTCACAGTCATTGCTATGTTTGAATCCATTATTGAGTCACTGCCTCAGTCCATTGCAAAGGTCTTTGTTTTTCCACTGATGCTCTATTTTACCAAACATGATGTCCTATTCCAGGAACTGGTCCTTCCTAATAACATGTCCAAAAGTATGTGAGATGAAGTCTTGCTATCCTTACTTCTAAGGAACATTCTGGCTGTACATCTTCCAAGAAACATGGTAGGTCCTAAATACCTACGAAGGACATTAAATCAGTAGTATAAATTACCTCCTTGCTTAAAAAATGCTTGATTTAATTCTAAGTGTCATAGATTCTTCCCTTGTTCCTGTCATTGACTGTAATTAAAGCGATGAAACTGGAGTCATGTGGCTAATGTAGATATAATAAAGTACTTTTGTAGATATTGTCTTCCGTAAAAGGAAAGAAAACGTTTCTTGTATATTGTTTTTCTCCTTTCTGAATTATTTAGTGGGGAATGACTTTGTATATTGTACCTGTTTACATTTACTTTTCTAGTAGCCTCTTCAATCTAGGAAAATCTAGAGAAATTTATTAGCAACATGGAAAATATTAATCCTTAGTACTATTACTTTTTTTTACCTTTTTTCTAGGAGACTTTCTGGGAAGTGTTAAAATTAGAAAAGTAGATGAAAATATTTATTCTTGGTCCTTGTACATTTATATATAAGTCAAAAATTATCCATACTCTGGCTGTAGAATTTATTTTAATCCACTAATAGAAAAGACAAATATATTATTTTTTGTCATAGTCTCCTTACTTTTCAATACACTTTTTCCATCTGTCAACAAGCTTTCATATTCACTTATTAAAAAATGTTTTAGGCTGAGCTATGAGCCACAATTGTACCACTTGTCTTCACTTCATCAGAGGTGAGTCTTCATCTTCAAAGGGCTGCTTTCTGGGCACTGAACAGGTGAAAGTAAGATGAAGCAAGATCAAAACTATAAGGAGGATGTTTTAATAACTCAAATTAAGTTTTTGCAGAGTGTCAACAGTGTAGTCAGAGGTGTTTGTATGTTCACTGTCATACAAGATCACAATGCCTTTGGATAGCAGTCCTCTGTATTTAATCCAAAGTTTAAGCTTCAATTCTTCCGTGAAAGTTTCAGTGTAATGAGCACTGTTGATTGTTGAACCTTTTTTTCTGATACTGTTCCAATAGTGGTCCTTGAGAATCACGGAAAACTGTAAGCATCAATTCTTAGGCTGACTTTTGAACTCTTTCTTGTTTGGAGATTGAGGATGCTTCTCTTCCATACTCTGCCATTTACTCTCAGGCCCAGAGTGATGGGTCTATGTTTCATCACCAGGAATGATTTTTTTTTTTTTTTAATTTAATCTCTTTCTTTATTATCACAATTAAGCTTGGCTTAGAAAGCAAGCACTAAAAACTGCTGTACAGCATCATTTCATTACTACTTTCAGGCAAAACTAAGTGGGGGTCTTCTGTACCCTCAAGTCAAATAAAATAGGCAATGAGAGAGACAGGCTCCAGTGTCTAGGAAGGCTGAAACATTACAGCCAGCGCTAAAAGCAGAATTCATGTGTAACCCTGAAGAGAATCAGATAGTGGCTTCAATCTCCTGATTACTTAAAATGAGGAGATGTGAGGCACCTGTGATGTTCAACATCCTATGGGAGAGACCTAATCCACATGCTGTCCTGAATCAACTGCTACCATATGAGTCTTCTTGGTTAAGTCATTCGAACCTACTGTGTCAGAGTATGTCCCTGGATATACTTCTTTGTAGAGGTCCTTAGAGATGATCTCAGCAGGTTGTGATGCCTCTAGGTCACACCATGATGCTTGATAGATGTCTTCAAGACCATGGGATGTGGCTCGTCTCTGACCATTGTATCTAAGCACCAGGATAGCTCTGATGTATCTGTCATATCAATAAATATGGGTTGCCCCTCCTTCCTCTGGTACAGATGAATAAGATTTCCCACACTGACTTGACGCATAGTCCATGAACTCAGCCACTGTTCTGACGAAACACTGAGTGTTGGGTATTTTTCTTCTTTCTCTCCTGGGAGAAGTTGCTGGGGTTCAGCTGCCCCACCATCTTTCTTGGTTTCACCCCTCGGGGTCACACACTCCCATGCTGCCATTGGGGAGCTCCAGTAAATGCCAGTTCACCACTCTCCTCATGGCCCACTCCAGCACTTCTTACCCTACCTAGCCAAACACTGCAGATTACACTGGCCCACTCAGTTCAGCAGTGAGGCTGCCAGACAGTTAGTTCTCCATGTCTCCCTGGGTAGGCACATACTAACACACATGGTTATCAGCAGGGTTGCCTCAACCCTGCTCCACCCTGGGTTAGTGCCCAGAGTCCTCAGGTGACCACCACTCATATTTCACACCTATAGTGCACACCAAGGGTCTTGGGTGAGATCGGGAGTGCTGAGCCCTCCCATTTCTATCTCCTCTTCTTCTCTGCTGGTATTGCCTCACCCTCTCACCCAGGTCCATGTACTCGGGGCTCTCCAGTAGTGATTTTTTTCTTAAATAACCTTTTACCTTCCTTCGAGTATCAGTCCAAATTTTGTTTACAGATGTCCCAATGCTTCTGTTTCTGCTCTTCCCTGAGTTGCTTCACTACCTATCTCACACGAACTTTGGAAACCCAAGTCAGTAGTGGATTATTTCATAGACAGAGCCATGACTGATTTTCAAATGATATGCCCCATAATCTGCTGTCACTTGTTTATTTGGCAGAATCATTTCATGTGCACACTCAGTGCTATCATGAATCGTGAACATGGATGGGCATTTTAATATAACTTGAGTTCGTATCATTTTTTACTCACCCACATATGTATATGTGTGACACTAGGATATATATATATATATGTTGGGATTCCTAGAAAGATTTATGGAGTTCTGGAATGGCGCCATCAGATAAACACTGGATTACTAGTGGTTACTAGTCGGGCCACTAACCTCAAGTTAAGCAGTTCAAAATTACCTGCTGTTCATGTGAGAAAGGTGGGGCTTTCTGTTCCTGTGAAGATTTGTAGCCTTGGAAACCCTATACAGGGTTGCTATGAGTCAGAACCAGCTCCTCAGCATATAATCACCTCTACTAACCAAAAAGTTGGTGGTTCAACTGAACGGCATTTACCAACAACAACAATTGAGACTTATAGTCTTACACTGATATCAGTGATAAACATTTTTCAATGAAATATTCATGGATTTGGAGACCTGAAAGCATTTTAAAAAGTATTTAATGTGAATTTATTTTGTTTTAAAGCATAGCATTGTTCAAAAGCTCCAGTTGATTTTTTTTAAAATTAATTTTAGCCTATCAATATTTTGCATGACAGTAAAGAACATACTCCTGGACCCATATCATTGCTGGATATATTTAGACACACTGGAAATCTAAATATCATGATTAAAATGGACATTTATTCTAAGCCCATTCTGAGTGAAGAAATGTGATGTATTTTCTTTATTTTCTATATATGATGTTCATCAGTGGCAATAAGACTATCCTCTTAATATTTCAAACAATAGTCAACTTACCGATTTTATATTTTCTTATATTATGGCAACATAGTTATATTTCACACTGCTTGCATGTTTTCTGCTTCTAATTTGTTGTCTGATAAATTCTGAGAATCTATGACTAAGTGAAAATGTGCAAAGCATATACATTTTTCTCTATAGCATGATTGTCCAGATGTTGTGTAGGACAGAAAAATAGCTATCATTACTGCTGTTAAAATCACATCTTTGTCATTGTGGTGATATGGGTCCTGACTTAGTTTCAAAGGCATCCCAGGAAGAAGGAATAGATATATAGCAATTGGTGTGTGCAATGTTTTGTGAGGTTATTATGCACTTTCCTTATGTTATCAGAGATGTCCCCATGCTGTCTGGATGGACGCTGAATAGATTCAAGCCATCTCTACCAATTTGATAATCAGTCACATCTGAAAAGATACTTGGCTTGGGTGACAGCTTGTTAGAAAGCAAGCATGACCTTTATAGATCTCCATCCTATTTGGTACAACTAATCAGAAGCCTTTCCCTTCATCATGAGCTGTTTGCTTGGGGACATTTTGGGATCTTGTCAAAAAGGGACGGGGGATGATGGCATACCAGGGAACAAGAGGTTGGCATCAATCAATCAGCAGTTTAAGTGAATGACAGGAGTGAGTTCTTTTTAACTCTCTGGTTGTCAGATATTGAAATAAATGATCATGCTATCGTTGGTGTCACCAAAATATATCTTCTGACATCTCTGACAATTTACCTCGCAACTGGGTTTCAATTTTAGTCTGCATCAGGTATCTCTTATCCTTCTGCAGGGTTATTGGACAGTATGGATGTGTCTATGGATGGTCTCTGTGTGTGTGTACATGTGTGTGTATGTATTTTGCTCTTTTGAAATTTAAAAAATTCCATAATTGTCAGAGAATATGAATGCTTCTAATTTCTTCCCTGGAAAGCTGAATTTGATGAGAAATGAACAGGAGATGAAGAGGGTAAGAATACAATCAGCAGTGAGTGACACAGACATTGTCTCAAAGGAGAGGGAACAAGGGAAAAGACCCAAATCAACCTTCGGTGCTCCATGTTAATTTCCATGTTGTAGAAATACAATAATATGTCCTGGCAACAGTGCCTTCAGAAAAGAGCCAAGGTTTGGTTGACATCCCAGGCTGGCCAATTTGCTCTTAATCACTTGTTTGTCACTGCCTGGCATGCTGGCTGCTTGCAGAGTTATTATACATTTATTTTCTTTTGTTGAGACCCATTGTGGTGCCCTTGGTGCAGTAACAGGACACCTGAATTTTATAAAAGGGGGTTCTTTGTCCTGGGCTTTCAACCTATAAGTTTAGTGTGACTATCTAGCATAAAATTTCCACTTAAAAAACAAGTATAAATACACACATTAGAGAAAAAAGAAGTAATAAAAACAGCTGCTGCCCAGTTGATTCCTAGTCATAGCGTTTCCATGTGAATCAGAGTAGAAGTATACACCACAGGGTTTACAGTGGTGGATTTTTTTTTTTTTTTTTTTTGGCTTAGATTACTAGGCCTTTCTTCTGAGAATCCTTTAGGTAGACTTGAAACTCCAACCACTTGACAAGCAGCCTGTCTTGTTAATTGTTGGCACTACCAAGGAACTTTATGGTGGTTATGTGCTGTGAAGTTGATTCTGACTCATAGCTGCCCTATATAGATAGGATTTCCAAGACTGTAAATCATCAAGGGAGCAGGAAGTCTCATCTTTCTCCTATGGAGCAGTTAGTGTATTCAAACTGCTGAGCTTGCAGTTAGTAGTCCAACTCGTCACTCACTAAGCTACCCAAGTCTATACGTGTAAGTATTTAAGCTCAGTAGCTGAGTCTTCTGCCTCTTCCTCTGCCATCCTTAGCCAGGCTATTGCAGGCAGTTGAGAAGCATAAGTTGACATACAGTGTTTTATTTTTTCATGTCTTCTAAGTTTAGCTTGTGAAAGACTGGCTAGAATAAAATTGGGATACGCTTAAATGATTTTCAATGTGGCTAACTTCAGAATATATATATATATATATATATATATATATTTACAGGATTTAGATAGTTTGAGTGATACCTTCAAAACTCTCAGTTATTTGACTTAAATAAATCATCTAATCATTTTTCAGACTCTCCAGGTCATGGACTATCTACAGTTCATACACATGCACTGTTCTTTGCTATTGGGTGCCAGAGTAAAAAGGCTGTAATGTCATTGTGTTCTGAAATAGAAACCTGGCTTGCAGATGACTTAATCTTGTGATTCTCTATTTAAAACTCATTTAGCCTCCAAATTCTTCAACTTTATAATAGTACTTACATAATGATGTCATTGTGAAAATTAAATACAACTTTATGCTTGAAATACATAGCTCAGTATCAGACTCATGGTAACTGACTAATGAAACTTGAGCCAGATATAATGTACTGGTCTTGATATTTCCTCCATCTGGAATCATTCTTTTCCATTTTTCATACTTAAATTTTACCATCCAGGAGCACTGGTGGTGCAGTGGTTTATTAGACTCCACTGAAAATTGTACCAGTTACAGGGAGGATTCCAATTCTTCCTGCTCTGATTTATTATATCATAGTGACAACTCTTTCCTTTAGCCACAAACAGAGTTTGAAAAAAATGTACTTAGTTACATTAGAAGTTCACTGAGGAGAAATGCCATGCTGTAAACCTTTCTCAATCCCTTATAGTCCGGAACGCAATGCTGGTAGTAAGTGGGCGTTTAATAGATGTCTTCTGGAAGGAATACGTTTATCAATATATCTAACACACACTGGACTATTGCTCGTCTGGTTTAGAGGGCTTCTGATCAATTATACAAGTAGAAATATTTGACACATGGTTGATTCTGATTTTTCATCTTCTTTCTCTAAAATCTGCAGGCTTATTGGTGAGGAATAGATTGTCAGTTGATGTATTGCAACTAAGTATAGGCACATCTATTGCAAAAAGCCTCTTTAAAGTGTTAAAAAACATTTTTTTTTTTTAAAGCCCACTTTAAAAACTAAAATGTTTCAATTTCTGCATATACATATAATAGCTGGACAATGAATAAGGAAGACCCAAGAAGAATTGATGTCTTTAAATAGTGGTGCTGGCAGAAAATGTTGACTACACCATGAATTGCCAGAAGAACAAACAAATTTGTCATGGAACTATAGTCAGTACGCTTCCTAGAAGTGTGGATGCTGAGACTTGCTCTTACTGCATTGGACTTGTTATCAGAAGGGACCAGTCTCTGAAGAAGGACATCATGCTTGGTTAAGTAAAGGGTCAGTGAAAAGGGGGGAGATATTTAAGGAGGTGGATTGGCACAGTGACTACAAACTTAGCTTAAACATGACAATGATTGTAAGGGTGGCTCAGAAGATGGCAGTGTTTGTACATACGGTTGCTCTCAGTTGGAATAACTCGGCACCTAACAACAATAATGAGTATGTCATTATGTAGTACACAAAACTTATGTCATTAGTAAACAACAGTGAATCAACTAAATGCATCATTTCATGAATAAGTAATGGGGCAAACTGTCTTTCTTTTGAATGGTTCCATCCCAACTTTCTCTAATAGACTTCTGTATCTACAACTTTATCACATCATTACTGTTTTTATTTCTCTGTCTTCACCACGAGGGAGAGTGTGGTGGATCCATATGGTAAGCACAGGAAGACAAGCCTACCAGCTGTTCCATGAGAGAAACATGAGGCTTTCTGCTCATGCAAAGCTTTAAAACCTCAGAAAAATCTGAGGATCACTATATGCATGTGAAAGTTGGTCCATTAATAACTGTAGAATAATTGATACATTTGAGTTATGGTGTTGAAGAAGAATATTAAAAAGTATCATGGACAGCCAGAAGAACAAACAAATGTATGTTGGAATGAGTACAGTCATAAAGTTTCATTGAGGTTAGTCTGGTGAGACTTTGTCTCTCATACTT